AAATCAGTCACCTATGCAGTTCTCTAATTCTTTTGTTGCACGATTAGCCATCTCACAAACACGGCCCATCACAGTCTGAAATAATCAATTATGTGCAATACAGTATCCAACGGACAGTGATGGTCTTCTGCATTTTAATGAACGACTAGGTGAGTGGTTTAGGTACGAGTTTCCAACTAAGACTGTGCCACATACATATCGAAAACTTGGAAAATTTGATAATATTATTATATTTATCAAACCTTGTCGGTAGCCTCATTCATGAACGGTAATAGAGCAAATGACTGCATTTTCGCATAAATAGTGAATCGTACCGGCATAAGCGTTCTCTCACGAGCGCTTTCAAGCTCGTTCTTGATCTAAGGATAGAAAATCAAAAAAGGCGTACCGAGAAAATAAGCATTTCAACGTACCATTTCTAACTGCATGCAAAGGATCCTTTTCGAAACATCCACAACTTCAAGAATTTTATCGCAGTCGTTCAGAGCTTCACCCACTTGAGAATGCATATCAAAGCGCACTGTTCGAGATGGCTGTTCTCCATTTTTGGACATTCCTGTATACGAACAGAATACTTGACACTAATGGCAAAAAGCAAAGAATACCTTTGTTATCCTGGACGGTGCGCCACCAGATCTTAGGTGTCCAGGGGATATCAGCAAGAAGAGGGAATAGTATCGGTGGGTACTGATGGCTTTTTTGACCTCCGGAAACGCCAGCAAAAGTCGTCAATTCATTTTCGTAAAGCAGACGGTAATCAACACCACTCTTTAGGCCTAATTCGTCCTGCAGGCTCGGATAGTTTTCACTATAAATCCCAGAGTTATCTGTCCAGATCAAATAATGAGGACTATCCATGTACGTTTTATTTCAATCAAAGAAATATTTAGACATGAAATGAGACAATGAGGAAGCGTAAAAGCCTACCTAAACTGAGGCACTGATTTCAGATCGCAGTAGGTAAAAGTGTCCATTGATTCTATCACGATGAACTTCCGCTCAACACAGCTCTTCAATGCCGAAACCATCTCGTCAAGAGACTCTAGGGTAGGTTCTCTACTGAATAGTGTTGCTATCAATTTGGCAAGACAATGGCGGAACCATCTGAAGTACAAGAACGCAATAAGTAAGGGAGTTTGAACATCAACTATCAACTCTTCAGCTCATAGAGCAGTTAGTAACTAAGTACAGAAGAACAACTCTTAGAAGTGGTTTTTTTAAGCAAACGTTTCAAGTTATGCAAAGCTAAAGAACGCTGTCTTGAAATCAAAAAAAAAGTCTCAACAGCAATCGCAAAATTCCAGAAAGATATAGTTAAAAATTTTGTCACTTACTTTGGATAAGAGACGTTTGGAATAGTGTATCCGTATTTATACATGTAGCGATGTGTATCATAGTTCATTCG